GCCATGAAGATGAAGCAGTGGTTAGGACAGCTGACTGCCAAGAAGACCACATAGCTAGGAGAGAGGACTGGGACAGATTCTCTCTGTAGCATGGGAGACCCTATGCTGCCTACACCCTGACCCAGGCTTCTGGCCTTCAAGCTGGGAGAGAACCAAGCTCTGCTGCTCAAGCCGCCCATCTGTGGCATTTTGCCCAGGCCCAGCATCCTCAACCTATGAACATAGTTGTCCACCTGTGCTGTCAGCCCCACAGACTTCACAGCCTCTCCACCCTCCCACAGCCTCCTCTATCTTGCTGCATATATCTGGACTGGCTGGTGCCCCATTGTTCCCCATGACTGTGAAGCTGAGCTGTGATGAACTCCATTCCACCAAAGAGAAACCAGACCCTGGAGCAGCTGCCTCTGAGCCACAGAGCAGGATGGAGTTTCCCTTGCAGCCCCTGAGCATTCCCAGTTCTCTCTCCATACTCAGCTTATGGTGCTAGTCTGATGTTCAGGAACTGGGCAGACTCCAGGACCTGTGGGGACCCAGTGAGCATGCGCCTATCCTCCTGGGGAAACAATTAGTGGGAAAGACATGACATGCACACAAAGGCCCCAGGACACCCCCATAACAGCAGGCCCAAGACAACTTTAGCTGCCCTCTGCACCCTGAAATGCCCCCTCCAGAACCCTAGCTCTGGAAACTGGCCTTCGCCAAGGCACCATCTCAGGTGCTCCCTCTGTAGCCCCACCTTAGGGACCTGGGCACTCATACACCCCCAACACCTTCTCCTCTCCTCTCCTCTCCTTCCACCCAACCTGCCTTCTCCCAGCAGCAGCACCAGTCACCAGAAAACCCTCTTTTCTTGCTCTTGGCCCTGAAGGTTGTGTGTATCCATACCCTTGAGGAAGTTGTTACTCTCTGCCCCTCCAACCCCCTACCTGCCTCAGTCCCAGAGCCCTTCCAGCCTCCAATTCAGACACTGAATGTGTCCCTCTTCCTTGTCTCTTTGGACTAGACAGCTCTGTGCATGTCACACTGTGCAGCATGACCATCCCTCCTGTCCCATGTCTCCACCATCCCCAGGTTCAGAGTTGGGGCCCCTGACCCCAGATCTGCAGCCTATCTGCTTCCTTAGGGAGCACCAGCCTCAGAGAACTTCCTTATCCATGTTCCCTCTCTGCTCAACTCAGGCCCACCTGGACCCCAGCACTGCTTCTTTCTGTAGCTATGCCTGCCCCTGCCTGTGAGTACCTGTGAGTTCATCCAGAGCCCCAGTCTCTGGCTCCCTCCCCGTCTCATCTAGCTGGCACTCCACCAGACCCCAGCCTTCACCACATCCCACTGTCATGCTGCCAGACCTCAACCCTCAATTCCTCCCTGTGTCAGAGGCTAAGCTTGGTTCCCTTGAAGGAAAGATAGCTGGTGAATAGGCCAAGGAGACTGTGACCAGGGTTGGATGGGGGTCGGAGAGCTCAGTGAGAGGCCCAGGTATAGAGAGCCCTGAGTACTTCAAGGAGGAAGTCAGAATACAGTGGACATAGCTCTCAGCCTCAGAGAGCCCCAGGGATCCCAGGAGGCCATGACCACAGAGAAGCAGGTGACAGCAGGCTTCCTGCTTTCTCCCCTGGTACTCAGGGCCACAGCCTCACTCACCTCCATCCACCCACATGAGGCGCTTCAGCTAGGTCTGGACTCCTCCTCCCTCTCACACACAGAAACCCCCAGAAGAAAGGGGAACTTCAGGAGATGCCTCATGCCACACAGTTTCAATCCCATTCTTAGTCTGTATTCTTAGTCTGTGCAGGAGTGAGGGGGTGGAGTGGTAGTCACAACTCCGGGGACAAAGGGCAGTGACTCCCAGGAGGACAAGACAGAGCTGAGCTGGTGGCAGCCAGGGGCCAGAGCAGCAAAGGCTGGAAACCACCTTTACACAGTGAGTGGGATCAGCAGGGAGAAGTAGCTGCCATAGAAGTGGGTCACAGGGACTGGGCACAGCAGTGGCCCTCCATAACCTAATAGCCAACAGGCTACAGAAGGATGGGAAGGAGCAGAGACATCAGCCCCCAAATGGATGGGACGGGATGGAGTGGGATGGAATGTGGTAGGAGGAAGCCTGAGGAATGGGATGGAATGGGATGGAAAGTGGTAGGAGGCCTGAGGAATGGACTTGTTCTGTCCTAGAAGTTGGTGAGCACAGGACAGCTCACCTGTGGAAACAGAAGGGATCCAGAAGAGCAAGGAACAAGTGGAAGCTTTCAGAGCTGGGAGCAGTGGGGAAGATGGAATGGTGAGGTGGCAGCTCCTCTGAGAGAGGGCAGGGCAGGATCCGAGGCTCTGCCGGGATTTACAACGGGAGATAGGATGGGGGCCCTGAGGGACCAGAGAGAAAGTCCAGTACTGGGAAAGAGAGGAGGGAGTTTGGAGCCAAACTTGGGCTGAGAAAAGGCAAGATGGGCAGGGGCAGCCCCAGGTGCTCAGGGGACCAGGAAAGAGCAGACACAGGTAGCATGCATAGGTGTCAGTAATATGGGGGCCAGTGCAACCCCAGGCGCTCAGGAGATGAAAGCAGAGAAGCCACCTGTGAGCTAGGGCAGGTAGGAGTGCTGGAGCCAGGACAGCCCCAGAAGTTCAAAGGATCAGGTGCAGAGCAGCTACAGATGAGCTGGGCCTGTTGGGAGTTGGTTGGGGGCTAGGGTGTTTCCAGAAGCTCAGGGTACAAGGATTATGTAACTATAGGTGAATGGGTCCAGAAGAAACTCCTGGGATGGAGCTGAGGTAGCCCCAGGAGTTCAGGGGCCTAGGGAAGATCAGGACAGGTGATCTGAAGCATGTGGGGGTGCTGAGGACTAGGGCAACCAAAGGAGCTGAGGTGACCAGGTAGAAAGCAGGGCAGGTAAATTTGGGAGTCCAGAAGATAGCAAAGGGAGCTCAGAGGAGCAAATGAAGAGCAGCTATAAGTGAGCTGGGGCAGGCTGGTGTCCTGAAGGATAGGGCAACCTTTGGAGCTCAGAGGACCAGGGCCGAGCAGCTACATGTGAGCTGAGGGAGTGAGGGCAGTGCAAACAGGGGTGGCCCTGGGAGCTCAGGAGACAAAGGAACAAGGAGCCCTTTACCCAGCAAGTGCTGAGCAGATACAGGTAGCAGGAACAGCTGAGGCTCCGAGAACCCCAGGTCAGCCTCCCTGCTGAGAAAATGACAGCACAAGGGAGTGGAGAGCAGGCAGGAAGGGGCTAGGTGTCCTGTCCAGTCCAGTGGAACAACCAGGACTCGGGGCAGAGGAGCAGCAGGGAAAGTGCAGGAGTGGCCAGCAAGGGCCTCTGTATGCTCATAGGGCAGATGACACAAGGGCTGATAAGACAGCACGCAGACATCAGGGGGGCCAGTACAAGGGTCAGAGAGACCTGGGTCCCTGGCAGGACAGTGTATGGTACCAGGTGGGCAGGGGCTTCAGGAGCAAAGCTGAATATAGGAGGTGTGAAAGAAGGAGTGCCCAGTAGCATAAAAGAGGATATACTGTGGTTAGATTAAGCAGAGAGGTAGAAGGAGAGCAGACAGTAAGAGTGAGGAGAATCCCATAGCTCAGGGCTGAGGCTACGTCTGCTTTGTCTGCTCTGAGGGTGGAGAAGGGTTGGGGTTGTGACTGGAAGCTGGTAAGCAAAACACCACATCTGACCAGGTCAAGCAAAGGAGATCCAAGGAACAAGGGGCCAACAGAAGCTTCCAGAGCTGGGAATAGTAGGGAAGGTGAGGCCTGCAGGAGACAAGGCAGGGCCAGGAGCACTGCTGGAAAAATGGCTAGACACAGGGTAGGGGACCTGCAGAGTCAGGGAGCAAGCCCAATACTGGGAAAGAGAGGAGGCCAGGCTTGGGGCCAACCTGGACTGAGGGATGGTAAGATGGGCAGAAGACAGCCCCAGGAGCTCAGGGAAGAAGAAGTAGATGAAGAGCAGGTTAGATAGGGCAGGTGCAACCTGGGAAGCCCAGGGCAAAGGAGAAAGAGCCTTGAGATCTGGCAAAAGCTGAACAGATTTAGGAACAGGGAGAACTAGGGGTCAGAAGAGCAAGAGCAGGTAGCATGCCTGTGGCAGCCCCAGGAGCTCAGGGAACTGCTCATCTCACCCTAACACATGCCCTGGCTCACCTGTAAATGCTCACCCTGAGCTCCTGGGTCTCCACAGCCCATGCAGCACCACACCTTATATGCACCTGGAACGTGCACCTGAAGGCTGGTGGAGTGCCAACTGAATGGGGTGAGAACAGAGTCCTGGTGGAATGCCAGGTGAAAAGGAGGGGAAGGGTACCAGGTCTCAGAGCTCTGACTGAGCCCAGAGTCAGGGGCAGGCATGGCTGCAGAGGAAAAAACAGCACTTGGGGACTGGTTGGCCTTGGACTGAGTGGAGAAGGGAACCTGAGCAGAGAAGGTCCCTGGGGTTGGTGCTCCTAGAATGCCACTAGAGGCCAGGGCTGCCAGTTGCTAGGAAGATGTATGGGAGGAATGCTGGGTAGAGGGTCACAGATGACCCACAGGAAGGATTCAGGAAAACCTGAGTAGGGTCTGGAGTCCAGGGATGGGGCTCAGAGCACAGGTTTGAGATTGCGGACTGGCAGGTGTAGAGGATGAGGAGCTGAGGGGGAGGTGAGCAGGGGACAGTATGAGGGAAGTCAGGGATCCAAGCCCGGTCTAGAGGGTACTGGACTTGACTCAGCACCAACTCCCCAAGATGCAGTGCTGCATGGCAAGGTCCAGGAGCAGGGCTCTGGTTCCAAACATTGGAACCAGAACCTAGGCAGAGGGTGGCAGAAGCTCAAGACGTCCTGAAATGCAATTCACTCATGGCAGGGGCAGGGGCAGGAACTGAGCGTCTTTCTGGAAGCACACTGAGGACAGGACTTGCCTCAGTGGTGCCATGGTCCTGGCCTTTCCTAGGACTCTTAGGAGGGGAAGGGGATCAGGTGAGGGCGTTAGGGCTAGCCAGGAGAACTGCTGACACCCACAAACCCAGACACTGCGTATGTGGGATCCTTGCAAAGGATCAGGGTTCCAGAAGGGGGGAGGGGAGGAAAGAGGAAAGACAGCCTCCAGAATCTGTGCCCAGCTGTGCCTGACACCAAGCTTACTCAGTATCTGCTCTCTTGCAGCCAGCCCCACTGCCCCATCCGTCTTCCCATTGGCCCCCAGCGGTGGGGCCAGGTCCGCCTCCACTGTGTCCCTGGGCTGCCTGGTCAGCGGCTACTTCCCTGAACCAGTGACCGTGTCATGGAACTCTGGAGCCTTGTCCAGCGGTGTGCACACCTTCCCATCCGTCCTGAAGGCAGGCCTCTACTCCCTGAGCAGCTTGGTGACTGTGCCTTCCAGCACCTGGCCCAGACAGACCATCACCTGCAATGTAGCCCACCCACCCACCAACACCAAGGTGGACAAGACCATTGGTGAGAGGACAGCCTAAGGGAGGGGGGAGTCCACTGGAGTCACGCTGGGGGTGGGTTTTCATGGGCTAGAGAAGCGAATCTAGCACAGGGGACTGTCTATCATGTGGAGGCATCTTCCCAGGCCTCTTCACTCAGGCTCGGAGGGACCCTCTGGACCAAATTACTATTCCCAGCCCCTGGACACACAGAGGTGCATGCTGGTGTCAGGACTGCCCTGGGTGATATCCAGGGACAGACTGGCCCTGACCTGAGTCCACACCCAGGGAAACCTCTCCCCTTCCTCTGCTTAACTCCTCTCCTAAACTCCAGTAACCCCAGACTTCCCTCTGCAGTGCCCAGATGTGAGAAACCACCATGTCCTGTGTGCCCAGGTGAGTCATCAGTCCTCATCTTTGATCCTGGGTGGAGAAAAAATGCCCAGAGACACCCGTGCATTGAAAGGTACACCAATTACTGACCTGTCTCCTCTCTGTCTACTACACCAGCTCCTTCACTCCCAGGGGGACCGTCTGTATTCATCTTCCCCCCAAAGCCCAAGGATACACTCACCATCGCCCTGACCCCCAAGATCACCTGTGTGGTGGTAGATGTGAGCCAGGATGACCCTGAGGTCCAGTTCAACTGGTACATGGACGATGTGGAGTTGCACACAGCCCACAAGGAGTCAAGGGAAGTGCAGTACAACAGCACAATCCGTGTGGTCAGTGTCCTCCCCATCGTGCACAAGGACTGGCTGTCAGGAAAAAAGTTCAAGTGCAAGGTCAACAACAAAGCCCTCCCAGCCCCCATTGAGAAAACCATCTCCAAAGTCGAAGGTGAGACTGGTGTGGTGGACAGGGCAGGAGCTGCCATGGCCACAGGGTGAAAGCCTGGCTTAGAAAGCTCTCTGCCCTATTAATGACCTCTATGCTGACCTCTCTTCCACAGGGCAACCCCGAGAGCCACAAGTGTACACCTTGCCTCCACCTCAGGAAGAACTGAAAAACAGCAAAGTCAGTTTGACTTGCATGGTCATTGGCTTCTACCCACCAGACATCTCTGTGGAGTGGGAGAGTAAAGGGAAGCTAGAGGAGAACTACAAGAACACCCAACCTGTCCTGGACTCTGACGGGACCTACTTCCTCTACAGCAAGCTCACAGTGGACAAGGACAGATGGCAGACTGGAAACAGTTTCACCTGCTCTGTGATGCACGAAACTTTACACAACCACATCACTCAGAAGACCTTCTCTCCATCTCCGGGTAAATGAGCAGTGCACCAGGCGAGCCCTTGCTACCCAGTGGGCTTTCGGGTTCTCCACGGACACTGACACATAACCACCCCATCCCATTTAAATAAAGCACCCAGCACTGCCCTGGGACTCTGCAACACTGTTATGGTTCTTTCTGAGGAAGAAAGTTCACTGCATGCCTGGGCCAGATGCCTAAGCTGTCTTTATTAGGGACAGAGAGTGGGGTTTGCTCAATCAGACACAGAGCATATGGGTCTTCCCTGCTATACAGGGCAGGGCCTGGCCAGGGAGTTGGTCCTCAAGTGGAGGGGACATGGCCCAAGGCACCCCTCTCCCAGGCTCACCTCCTAGCCCACAGTGACTCTGGGCCTGCAGTCACCCTTAGGGAGCCCCCAAGGGAAGGAGCACAAGAATAACAAGACCCTCCTCTGTCACTCTGATTTCATCCCTAGTTCACATCCAAGGGGCTTTCTCTGTGCACTGTGGAGGCCAAACTGGCTGTGGGTGCAGACAGCCCCTCCATGCCCCTGAACTCAGACCAGGCTCCTCTCTCCACCTCACTCTTCATGAGACCAGGACTGTCCACCATATGGACACTAACCCCAAAGGGGCTGCAGCAGCCAGCCTGTCTGCCCCAGGGAAGGGACTGTCTTGATACCCAAGTGGACACTGAGCCCAGATCCAATAGAACAAGCTTGCTGGGTATCACCCAGACAATGGGGCACTTGCACAAATAAACTTGTGCACTCATACATGTACACATGCCACAACACTGAGAATTCATATGGGCAAACTGCACAGCACCAGACCCAAGTGACAGGTGACAGGTGTCCTGTTACCAAACACTGGCATGGACACAGGCTCACACTCACGCTCCTCCACATGCTGGCCGACTCACACAGAACCAGCTCTCCTCTTACAAGGGGCATCTGTACCCCTCCCCCAACACACACTCATCCCCCCGACCCACACTGACCCTCCATCCTCAGGCCCAAGTTTCCACCCCACACACGGAGGATACACCCCATCTCTATGTGGCCAGGTTCCCCCCCCCCAGTCCTAATTTCCCTGTAGCCCAGGCATTACTAGTTACACACTCTACAATGCCTCTGGGACCCTAGGCCCGGTGAGAAGGGGACAAGCATAGGGCCACGTAGGCTGCAAAACCACTGCCTACAGATGTCACTGCCCCTGACACAGGGCGGAGGTCCTGCATGTTCCCAGCCAACATGTAGGGTCAGACAGTCTGGCCAAGCCTGACACCTGAGCTGAAGCACTTGGGGGAACTGAGGCTGATGTCCAGGGTGGGAAGCCAGGGGAGCTGGCCCCCAGGAGGGTGCTGCTGACTGAACCCAGCTTGCCTTTCCTACTGGGCCTCCTGCCAGACCCCCTTACCTTACCCAGCCCTCACCTCACACACTGACCACCCTCTCCCTGTCCAGAGATAGACCTGTACGAGACCTGTGCCGAGGCCCAGGACGGGGAGCTGGACGGACTATGGACGACCATCACCATCTTCATCACCCTCTTCCTGCTCAGTGTGTGCTACAGTGCCACTGTCACACTCTTCAAGGTGGGCACACTGTCCCCACACTGGTCCCTATGCTGTTCAGCACAGTGCCTCCATGATGTCCACACTGTCCCCACCATCCCCAATGCTTTCCATCCATGCCCACTGTCCATGCTGCCCTCACGCTGACTTGATGTCCTGAAAGTACCCATGCCATCCCTCACCTTGTACCACGTTGTTCTCACTGTCCCCATGCTGTCCCCACACTGTCCCATGCTGTCCCCACACTCTCCCATGCTGTCCCCACACTGTCCTAGTGCTGTCCCTACACTGTCAAATGCCATCCCCCACATTGTCACATGATGTCACACAGCCTTTATTCTGTCACATGCTTTCCACTGCAGTGTCCCCACAATATCCCCTGCTGCTCCCCACACTGCTCCACAGTGTCCCATGCTATCTCCCAGGCTGTCCCCACATCACTCCTACACAGACTATCCCACAATGTACCCTCACTGCCCACATTGTCCCACCTGTCCCCAATTGTCACCCACACTTTCTGTACACTGTTCCCATGGCTGTGCCCATGAACCACGTGCTGTCCACACTGTTTTGCCGCACTAACTCCATGCTGGTCCCCAGTCTATCCCCACACTGTTCTCACCCCTGGCCTATCCTTTCCTCACTCTATCACTACACTGTCCTCACCCAGTCCCCATCCTGTCCTTACTCTATTCCCACACCATGTCCCCATACTGCAATCACATTGTCCCCAGCCATCATGCTGCCCTGCTGTATCACTACAATGTCTACCCCTTGATGTCTTCCACAGTGTTCCCAACTGCCCCCTGCAGTCTGCATGCCCCATCCACAGTGTCCCAATGCTATTCCCACACTGCACCCACACCATCACCACACTATCCCCCATGCTGTCCCCTACGCTGTTCCCAAACTGTCCCCCATCATGTCCCCACAGTGCCCCCTCATTGTTCCCATGCTCTCCCCTGTGCTCTACCACAATCTGTTCCCACACTGTCCCTACACTGCCTCCCACTGTCCCTCATTCTCCTGTACAGGATGGGAGATGGTGGTCCTGTGTCCACTGTGCCTGGCTCACCCACTTCATCCTGCAGGTGAAGTGGATCTTCTCCTCGATGATGGAGCTAAAGCAGACAATGGTCCCCGACTACAGGAACGTGATTGGGCAGGGGGCCTAGAGCCACATCTATCAAGGTCCCAGGTCTTCCCAGGCCCCCATAGGGCCCTTTCCATCATGTCAGGCAGCTTCACAGCCAGGCCACATCTACCGTCTGACCTCACCATCCTCTAACCCTATGGTGCTCTGACCTTGAGCCCCTGACCTGTCCCCCTGTGGAGAAAAATGCAGACAGCAATCTCTGCCTCCCAATCTCAGCTACCTGGACATGTGCCACCCCTCCACAGCAGCTGCAAGGACACTGGCCAAGGCCAGCAGAGGTCATGTGGGACATCTCTGCCCTCAGGGCTGCAGAGCACCCAACCTGGAGGTGGAAGCCAGCACTGACCATATCTACACGGGCAGGAAACAACTTCCTTGTAGACAAGCTCATTACTGCCAGCCTACTGACCTCAGGGTTTTTCTGAGAGAAATTCAAGTTTTCAGATGTAGGTGTGAAACTGTTTGCCACAAGCCCGGAAAGCAAAGGACCATCATGCCCAAAAGGGGCTTCAGACAGGCTGCTAATGGTTTCTCTGATGACATTCGCCCCACCCCATATCTAACCAGGCCTCATCATGGCACTTCTGAAACCCTTGCTTGAACAAAGGGCTTCCGTTTCTTGGGCTCCTGGGACAGAATCTACCATGTGTGGGGGCTCACCCCACCTTCTGATGACCAGGGCTCTGCCACCTCCCCCCAGGTTCCCAGCTCTACTCCAGGGACAGCACTCAGAAGAGGGCCTGTGCCACATGGCCAGCAAGGGGTCCCCAGCTGGTGCCAGGGCAGAGACACCTGAGGAGGTGGTAGGCATCCACCTGGTAGACCTCTGGGGGAGGGTCCTGTAAGCAGACCCATTATTATAACCATATATTTGTTACATGAGATAGTTGCCAACTGTTTGGGATATTATACATAAAAATCATGTTGTCTGAGAACAAAGGAGTATTAGAATTGTTCCTCAATCTATATTCCTTTTATCCCATTTTCCTTTCTTCATGCATGTCCTAGACCTTCCAGTATGCTGTGGAATAGTAGTAGTGTTAAAGGAGCAAGGTCATTTTGTCCCTGACCTTAGGGAGAAAGCATGCTGTGTCCCATATTAACTATGATGTCAGCTGTAAGGCTTTGTAAATGTCCATTGTCAATTTGAGGGTATTCTCTACTCAAAGCTTGCTGAATTTTCCATGATAAATGGTGTTGAATCTTAACAGATGCATTTTCCTCATCTATTGTTATGACCACATTGATTATTACCTTTTGGCCTATACATGTGGTGAATTGTATTAACTGCTTGGAGGGATGGGTTTTCATCCTTGTTTGTTATTTATATTTGCACTGCTGGGGATCAAACCTAGGGCCTCACACATGCTAACCAAACACATCACAACTGAGCTATGGCCTGTCCCAGTCCCTTAACTGATTTTTGAAAATCAAACTAGCCAAGTTTCTGCAGATAAGCAGAACCAATGAGAGAAAGAGAATGAACTCAACTGAAACATGAAGTTAACCAATATGTGGAATAAAATCCACAAGATCTAATTCTCTTTATACATTGTTTCATTCAATTTAATAGTATTTTGTTGACATTAAGCTTTACATTTATAATATTAGAGGCAAGTAATCTTTTTTAAAAATGTAGAAATCACCTTCTTTTTATTCCTTTTTTAATTTCTTATTGGTGTATATTAATTATACAAAGTAAACCATTTCACTGAGACATTTCCATATATGCATATACTTAGATCATATTTACCCCTCCATCCTTCCCTCTTATTCCCCTCAAGATACCCCTTTTTCTTTTTCCGTTCTACTTTGACAGTAGTTTCCTGTTTTGTGACTTTGTTTTTATTTTTTTCCTTCCTAATTTTCACAAATGAGAGAAAACGTGATATTTGTCCTTGTGGCATGGTTTAGTTCATTTAACATGATAGGCTCCAGTTCCATCCGTTTTCCAGCAAATGACATAATTTCACTCTTCTTAATGGCTAAGTAAAACTCCACTACTTATGTGTGCCACATTTTCATTATCCACTCACCAGTTGATGGGCACCTAGGTTCACTGTATAAATGAACTATTGTGAATGTTGCCACAAAAACATTGAATGTGGTATGGCTGGATCTTACAGGATGTATTTTTAATTTTTTGAGGAAACTCTATGCTGATTTCTCTAGTGCCTGAACTAATTTACATTCTACCAGCAGTGAATTTATTTCCTACCAGCATTTTCCCTACAGCCTCGCCAGCATTTGATCTTATTTGTTTTCATAATGATAGTCATTCTAATGGGTGAAATAGAATCTCAGTGTAGTTGTTATTTATACTTCTATGATGGCAAAGAAAGCTGAACATTTTTCATGTATTTATTAACCATTTGTACTTCTTCATTTGAAAAAGAGATGTTCCATTCATTTGTCCATTTATTGATTGGATTATTTGTTATGTTAGTTTAACTTTTTGAGTTCTTTATATGTTCTGGATTTAATCCCCTATAAAATAAATAACTGACAAACACTGTTGATTGTTCCTTTCTTATGCAGAACACTTGTAATTTGATACAATCCAACTTGTCAGTGTTTACTCTTACTTACTGAGCTATTGGAGTCCTACATAGAGAGTCCTGCTACACCTATATATTGGCTATATTTGCCTATAGTGGTTTCAAATTCTAAGCTTTACATTAAGCCTAAAATTTAATCCATTTTGAGTTGACTTTGTGCAGGATGAGTGCTAGGGATCTAGTTTTAATCTTCTGCATATCGATGTCCTGAATATTCTGTACATGTATGTTAAATCCATATGATGTATAATGTAACTTAATTCTGAAGTTTTCTTATTGACTTTTTTTTGTCAGAATGACCTATGTATTTATTGGTGAGAGTGGGGTACTGAAGTCCCACACAAAGACACTAGTATATGAACTTAGAAGATACTAGTTACTAAATGTAGGAAAGGAAAGAAAATAAGAGGAATAATACTAGTGAATAATGCAAGAAAAATGGAAGGAAGATATATAAACGGGAGACTACAATAAAGGGAACAAGTGATGATGATAATGATGATGATGATGATGATGATGATGATGATGGAAGAGAGAGAGATAGAGAGAGATTTAAAAAATCATACTAGCCTGAAATGGGAAGTAAACATAGTAAAATGCAACAAGAAACAACAGCCCAACAAACAAACCAAAAATAATGACAAAAACTAATGAATGTAGAAGGGGGAATAGGGACAGAAAAAATATAAGAAAAATTTATCTAACTGAAGATAAAAGAGAATAAAGCTGAGGGTGAAAAGAGAGAGAGAAATAAGAGATGACTTAAAATTAAACATTGAAGACTGGGTGTGGTGCTCACATCTACAATCCATGTACTTGAAAAGCTGAGGCAGGAAGACCACAAATCCAGACTGGCCCTTGTCTGGAAAGGACAAAGCAAAAATAAATAATTAAAAATTTTAAAAACCCCATCAATCAAAACAACAGGGAGAAAAACTGTTCAAAAGAATCAAAGAAAAAGATGCTAAAGAAGAAGTAATATAAGATAATTTTGAAAGCAAAGAAAAGGGAAAAAAGAAAATTGCTCTTAAGAGCAGAGGGGATAGTAGACAACATAAAGGTATAAACAACGATGTCATTCTGCAGAAAGCAACTGGCAAGGGCTCCATGACTGATTAAGCTCAAGAGAGCTAGTCACTAAGACTTACCTGCAAAGATAATAGGAGTGAGAAAAGTACAGGCAACTTCCTGACAGGGAACTATCAAGTACCTCTAAGTCCAAAGTAAGGGAAAAATGTTTTTTAAAAACCTGCTTGAAAGAATTTACAACTAGTAATGGAGACACCACCATCCTTGTACATCCTGGAATATGATGGAGATTGACTATTGAGAGGGTCTTTTGAAACACCAGGATTCAAGAGAGTTCAGTAGAGGTTGGGAGGACAGGAAGGTTATGAGAATGCAGAGTAAAACAAGAGCCACGGTCCCCCTGCTCCCTGACTCCCAGCACCTGAAACATGATAATATCTCCTACTGAGAAGGTCAGAGTATGCCTTTCTCAGTAAAGTGATCAACTCCCCCCTCAAAGAAAAAGTACCTACAGATGCTAAGTATGGGGATTTAACAATAAAATTGTGGAATTACACATGATCACACACATTGAATCAACTGGACAGCATTTCCACCCACTGACACAGCATCCATACACACCTTAGAGGTGCTCCATCACTAAAATTAAGCAAGTGACTGAGCACCTAATGGCTCACACCTGTTATTCTAACTACTTGGGAGACTGAGATTAGGAGGATCACAATTCAAGGACAGCCCAGGCAAATAGCTCACAAATCCTCCATCTTCAAAATAACCAGAGCAAAAACATGTACTGGAGGTGTGGCTGAAGCAATAAGTCACCTGCTTTGCAAGCATGAAATCCTGAGTCTCACACAGACACACACAAAAAAAAAGTTAAGTGAGAGGCAGCATAAACAGGCATTTGAGGAAATCTTCTGACTTGAAAAACAAGCAGGAACTACAGACAACTCAGGAACAAAAGGAAATTTTCAAGATACAGTGAATAACATACCCAGATGGTTGTTACATCCTGTGTTAATTGGCTTTGTGTTACTCTTACAAATACCTGGGCAGATTAACTTGTAATGAGAGAAAGTTTATTTTGATCCAGCATTCTGGAGGTTTCGATTCATGATCTGGTATATTCATCACATTCAGTCCTCTGGTGTGGGGAAGAGAGCAGCATATCATGGTCAAGCATGTGAAATAGCAAAATCATTGATTCACTTCCTAGCATGATGCAAAAGAGAAAAAAAAGGAAGGAACTGGGATCCCCATAACCAGAATCCCTCCTACTGGGTCCTGCCTCTTAAAGTTTCCACCACTTCCCATAGTGCCACACTAGGAATCTTAGCCTTTAACACATGAGCCTTTAGGAGACAACAAATATTAAAGCCATAGCACATCCAAAAAACAATGGCAGAATGACAAAAGGGTGATTATTCTTGTT